GATGGTTCAAGAACAGCTGGTCTAATTTCCTTTGATGGTTCAAGAACAGCTGGTCTGGTCTCCTTTGATGGTTCAAGAACAGCTGGTCTGGTTTCCTTTGATGGTTCAAGAATAGCTGGTCTGGTTTCCTTTGAAGGTTCAAGAGCAGCTGGTCTAGTTTCCTTTGATGGTTCAAGAACAGCTGGTCTGGTTTCCTTGGATGGTTCAAGAACAGCTGGTCTGGTTTCCTTTGATGGTTCAAGAACAGCTGGTCTGGTTTCCTTTGATGGTTCAAGAACAGCTGGTCTGGTTTCCTTTGATGGTTCAAGGACAGCTGGTCTGGTTTCCTTTGATGGTTCACCTAAGGAATGTTCTTGTGTTGCGGGGACCCATTTCAAACTGAGATGCAGTTCTCCAAGGGGAGTTTCAGCAACTGTGTGTGTAGCTGAAACATCCACCGGTTCTACAACAGCTGGTCTGGTTTCCTTTGAAGGTTCAAGAACAGCTGGTCTGGTTTCCTTTGAAGGTTCAAGAACAGCTGGTCTGGTTTCCTTTGAAGGTTCAAGAACAGCTGGTCTAGTTTCCTTTGATGGTTCAAGAACAGCTGGTCTGGTTTCCTTGGATGGTTCAAGGACAGCTGGTCTGGTTTCCTTTGATGGTTCAAGAACAGCTGGTCTAGTTTCCTTTGATGGTTCAAGAACAGCTGGTCTGGTTTCCTTTGATGGTTCAAGGACAGCTGGTCTGGTTTCCTTTGATGGTTCAAGGACAGCTGGTCTGGTTTCTTTTGATGGTTCAATGACAGCTGGTCTAGTTTCTTTTGATGGTTCTAGAATAGCTGGTTTAGTTTCAGCTGTGATTACATCAAGTGATCTAGTCTTCCTTATAGCTGGCCTAATTTCCTTTGTCGGTTCTAAAACAGCTGGTCTGATTTCCTTTGATGGTTCAAGAACAGCTGGTCTGGTTTCCTTTGATGGTTCAAGAACAGCTGGTCTGGTTTCCTTTGATGGTTCAAGAACAGCTGGTCTGGTTTCTTTTGATGGTTCAAGAACAGCTGGTCTGGTTTCTTTTGATGGTTCAAGAACAGCTGGTCTGGTTTCTTTTGATGGTTCAAGAACAGCTGGTCTGGTTTCCTTTGATGGTTCATCTGGGGAATGTTCTTCTGTTGCAGGGACCCATTTCAAGCTCAGATGCAGTTCTCCAAGGGGAGTTTCAGCAACTGTGTGTGTAGCTGGAACAACCAGGTTTCCAGGGCGAGTTTCTACTCCAGTGGCGAGGCTTCCTGGAAGGGTCTGAACCCCTGTGACGAGATTTCCAGGGCGAGTTTCTACTCCAGTGGCGAGGCTTCCTGGAAGGGTCTGAACCCCTGTGACGAGATTTCCAGGGCGAGTTTCTACTCCAGTGGCGAGGCTTCCTGGAAGAGTCTGAACTCCCGTGACGAGGTTTCCAGGGCGGGTCTCTACTCCAGTGGGGAGGCTTCCTGGAAGGGTCTGAACCCCTGTGACGAGGTTTCCAGGGCGAGTCTCTACTCCAGTGGCGAGGCTTCCTGGAAGGGTCTGAACTCCCGTGACGAGGTTTCCAGGGCGGGTCTCTATTCCAGTGGCGAGGCTTCCTGGAAGGGTCTGAACCCCTGTGACGAGGTTTCCAGGGCGAGTTTCTACTCCGGTGGCGAGGCTTCCTGGAAGAGTCTGAACTCCTGAGCCAAGATCCCCAGGACGTGTCTCGACTACCGTGCCAGTGTTGTCTGGAGTAATCTGGATCTCGGAATTCTCGATATCCTGTAATACATGATAAATCATTCAAATTATTCCTGTTTACTTCATACTGAAGAAACTTTCAAAGTCATTTTGCACACAGGGTAGTAAACAATATTACAATATAAACTACGATGTCCCACTAGGACCTACCTCAGCTAGTGCAAGGCTAGCAGGCAGAATCCGTACTTGGTTAGTGATCTCAATAACATTTCCTGAAGGGGCGTCAGCAATAACACTCCTGCTGGAGGGGGCTTTCCGTAGCAGCAGTGGAGACGCCACAATGACCGTGGCCATCGACAGTAAGAAATGAGCCAAGAGGATCTTCATTGTGGTATTCCTGGATCCCAATGTGTGCAGGTTCCCTCTTCCTCCCACAGTGAAGAAACAGTGCTCGGTCGTTCTTTATAAAGTACCTACAGTCGTGATAACGATCATGTGACTGATTCTTTTTTTTTATCATACAACCCCTTGCATAGAAACAATGAAGTTATAAAACCCTTTATACTCCGTGGGTAGCATAAATAACTGAGGCGATCCGTTTTCTGAAAACCAGATGTCGTAAACTTAAGACACTGTGAAATTCTTTGCCTAGGCAGTAAACAAATCCGTTATAAAAAGTCAATTTTATTACTAGTTACCTGCTTATTGTCTCTTTCGAGCATCATAAAATATGTTTTTCGTGACTGATAAGGAGGGGGGTTGTAAGGCAATTTCGGTGGAAGCGAGATAAAAGCAATTTTTTCCGGATTCTTTTTTTCTGCCTAAAG